GAAAAACACCCACACAGCATGAACAAGCGAGATGATACCTCCCGCCTACCAGCCATTTGGAAACCCGCCCTTATTGACAAACGACTCCCTAACACAAAAAATGATACCAGACCCACACTCACAAAAACCACACAGGATGTCACCACCACACATCCACGCAAAAAGCAAACCCAAAGCCACACCGATGATGAGGCACGACCACAAACCAGACCACAGCTGCATCATTAGCCATTTTAAAACCCTCCAATCCATACATGAAGCAAACTGACACCCTCCATGAAGATGAGGCACGACCACGAATGCGAAGCCAAAAAATAGCAAGGCAGCCCAAAATCTTAAACCCCCCTGCAACTCAGACTAACCTGAGCACAACCAAACAGAACACCCCCCCAGCCAATCAGAGCACAGCCAACCCCCCAGCCAATCAGAGCACAGCCAACCCCCCAGCCAATCAGAGCGCAGCCAACCCCCCAGCCAATCAGAGCACAGCCAAGCCCCTAACCAATCAGAACACACCTCCACCCAATCAGAACACAGCCAAGCTCCCACCCAATCAGTTCATACCCCCACTGGCAGTTAAAAGGAAGAAACAGCTAAGACCACACATTGCTCCTCGAAGCACGAAGCTGAAAACACCAGCCTGAAGATGACGGACTTCGTCGAAACGTCGCCAAGAGACTTCCAATTTTACGTGGGAGAAAACCCGAACAACCAAAGACCTACATATATATATGTGTGTGTTTGTGTGTGTGTCAATATCATACTGGAAAGAGAATACCTAAATGTTAGTGAGGTGATGGCTTCAAGTCAGTTCTGCAAAAAAAAAAAAATGTACTCATTGCAGGGCTTTCCAAACTTGGCAACTTTTAAGACTTTGGGACTTCAATTCCCAGAATTCCTCAACCAGCCAACTTGTGGAGTTGAGGTCCACAAATCTTAAAGTTGTTCAGTTTGGAGAACTCTGCTCTATTATATGGTAGAGTGGAACAACCTGCCTCCAGAAGCTGTGAATGCTCCAACACTGGAAGTTTTTAAGAAGAGACTGGACAGCCATTTGTCTGAAATGGTATAGGTTTTCAGCAGGAGGTTGGACTACATGACCTCCAAGGTCCCTTCCAACGTCATCATCATCATCATCATCATCATCATCATCATTATTATTGTGCTGATAGAAATGCTCTCAACATGGAAAAAGGGGCTTCAGTTTGGTGCAGTGATATAGTTTGCTATAAAGAATTCACTCTCTCAGGGCTAATTGGCAAGAGCTTGAATGAAGAGCAGTTGTCTTCTTAGCAGGTGTCTCACCGTTCAACTGATTCCTTGAGATGAAGAGGATGGGGTTACAAGAATTGCAGCCACCTAGCAATTTCTGCTTTAGTCAACATATCTCCTTAAGGAAAGAGACTTCCTGCTTCAAACAGCCTTGCAACCAGTTGACAAAGAACATATGCCAGCATGAGGATAGCTTGTGAAAAACAATCATTTAAGAATGCCTGCAGGAAAAATGCCTAAAGTAGCAGAGAAGACCAGGCGTAGAGAAACCCATTCATCCCACATAGAGAATTATCCAGAGGATGGGAAGGTTTCCATTAAGAAAGATGCAGAGAGTGGCTTTAATGAGGATCATGTAGGATAGTGTTCCTTAAACCAGGGGTAGGCCACCTTGACCCTTTTATGACTCGTGGACTTCAACTCCCAGAATTCCTGAGCCAGCCATGCTGAGGGGAAAGGGAGAGGTTTCCAAGCTGAGCCAGGCTGGCTCAGGGATTCTGGGAGTTGAAGTCCATGAGTCATAAAAGATCCAAGGTGGCCTACCCCTGCCTTAAACTTTTATTTCTCAGGATCCCTTCCCACTTCTAAATATTACGGAGGACCTCAAAGGAGCTTTTGTTTCTATGAGTTACATTTCTCAGTATTTGCCATATTAAAAGTTAAAATGGATGCATTCACTCCTACTACTGCTTCTCAAGATATTTAATATTGTATTATTTTTCAACATAGCCTAACAAATAATTTTGATTTCACAGACCCCTGAAAGGGTCTTGGGGAACCCCTACAGTTCTAGAACCACATTTTGGGCAACATTGACATAGTACATTGGGGATAATTTCTGGTGAAAACCAAAAAGGGGAAGGAAGGAAGGAAGGAAGGAAGGAAGGAAGGAAGGAAGGAAGGAAGGAAGGAAGGAAGGAAGGAAGGAAGGAAAAGGAAAGGAAAGGAAATAAGGAAAGGAAATAAGGAAAGTATAGGTAGTTGTTATTTAGTAGCCACAACTGGGACTGGCAATCACTTAATGAAAGTGTGCTTATGAATTTTCCCCAGCTTCCTCTGAAGGCCATAAATGTCAGGATTAGTCAGTTACTTTTTCATCAATGTCATAACTGTGAGTGGTCACTAAATGAGATAATTGCTAAACAAGAACTGCCTGTAAAGCTGAGAAGAAAAAAGGAAACGTGCTTTCTCCATTATCCTGCCAATAAAATCACCTCTTGGCTTTATACTACTGGCATATAAGGGTAAGAGAAAGGAAATAAAATTCTTTTAATTCTCAGTCTGGACTTTCTCTCTCATGGTAATAAATTGGGTCAAGTATTCAACAGATAACATATGTTTTATCCTATATGGAAGGGAGGTTTTCTGTTTTCTTAATAGCCAATGCCTTATAGGTGAGATGGGTGATGTATAAAAGGGATGGATGGATTTAAGATTTTAAAGGGATTGGAACTCACCAGCACAATGTTTCTCAACCTTGACAATTTTAAGGCATGTGGACTTCAACTGCCAGAATTCCACAGCCAGCATTGCTGGCTGTGGAATTCTGGGAGTTGAAGTCCACATGCCTTAAAATTGTCAAGGTTGAGAAACACTGCACCAGCAGGTTTAGCTGCTGCCTCTTTAAGATTAAAATTGTAGAATAGTGGTGTAGCTGCAGCTAAAATCTGCTGGTGAGTTTGGGGCTTCCTGTCTCCTGTCTGATAGATAACTTGAAGGCCACGGGGCTGGCTGCAGGAAAGAAGAACACAAGATGTTGGAGAATCAAAATCACGTCAAGTATTAGTACCGATTTATAAAGCCTTAGTTTAGTAAGGCCATGCCTGGAATACTGCATCCAGTTTTGGTCACCACATTAAAAAAAAAAGATGTTTTGAGACTTTGGAAAAAACGCAGGAAAGAGCAACTAAGATGATTAAAGGCCTGGAGACTAAAATATATGAAGAATGGCTGCCGGATTTGGGTTTGGCTAGTCTAGAGAAAAGAAGGACCAGGGGGGACATGATAGCAATGTTCTAGTATCTGAGAGACTTCCACAAAGAAATCAACTTATTTTCCAAAGCACCCAAAGGCAAGACAAGAAACAATGGATGGAAACTTATCAAGGAGAGAAGCAACCTGGAACTAAGGAGAAACTTCCTGACAGGACAATTAATCAGTGGAACAGTTTGCCTTCAAAAGTTGTGGGTGCTTCATCACTGGCGGTTTTTAAGAAGAGACTGGACAGCCACTTGTCCAAAATGGTATAGGATATCCTGCTTGAGCAGCGGGCTGGACTAGAAGATCTCCAAGGTCCCTTCCTGCTATATACTATTATATTCTACCTGTTGGCAGGTGTGTCCCCAAAGGGTGGAGGTGACATGGGATTTTCTCTGGACCCAAAATTTTGGTTTAAAAGGTAAAGTGGCATTGGAATTGAACTTAATGGCTATGTTGGCACAACTGTGCGATATTCTGTTTTCTTAGCAAGAAGAAACAAATGATCAGCCCCTTGGTTCGTTGTTACTTCCCAGGGTGGCTTGTAGCCCAGGAATGCATTCTGTCTTGGCTCCCTAAAACAGAAAAATCAGCTCAGCCTTACTTTGATCAACAAAGTGTGACTGGTGTTTACCTCAGCTCTGAATTACGTGCCTTCAGGAGTTGTGGATGCTCCATCCCTGGCGGCTTTTAAGAAGAGACTGGACCAGGGGTAGGCAACCTTGGCTCTTTTATGACTCGTGGACTTCAACTCCCAGAATTCCTGAGCCAGCCTGGCTCAGCTTGGAAACCTCTCCCTTTCCCCTCAGCATGGCTGGCTCAGGAATTCTGGGAGTTGAAGTCCATGAATAAATAAAAGAGCCAAGGCTGCCTACCCCTGGACTGGACAGTCATTTGTCAGAAATAACATAAGGTCTTCTGTTTGAGCAGAGGGTTGGACTAGAAGACCTCCAAAGTCCCAACTCTTATTCTGTATCCTTTACTTCATAGTGCTGCTCTTTGAACTACAAAGTGGGGAAGTTGGGAAGAAGCTGATGGGGGGGGGGGCAATGGCTCATTGTAGAGTTGTAGAAACACAACACACAGTATGGTCCAGCGTGCAACAAAACCAGCTTCCTGTCACTCACTAACCCGAAGGTTTAGGCTGTGTCTTCCAACGGAAGGATGTGCACAGCTAGCAGATCAATAATCCGATCTCGAAAAACGCTAAGCAGAGAGACCCCCATTTGGGAACTGGTTGGAAGGCCACCAAGAAATCCATCTGAGTGTTGTTAGGATTGAGTAGCTTTCCCCAAATCTGACTTGGGATTAGAGGAGACATAATAGCATGATAGGATATCCAGGGCTTGCCCCGAAGGAAAGGGAGTCAAGCTGTTCTCCAAAGCACCTGAAGGCAGGACAAGAAGCAAGGGATGGAAACTGATCAAGGAGAGAAGCAACCTAGAACTAAGGAGAAATTTCCTGACAGAACAATTAACCAGTGGAACAACCTGCCTCCAGAAGTGGTGAATGCTCCAACACTGGAAGTTTTTAAGAAGACAATGGACAACCATATATCTGAAATGGGATAGGATTTCCTGCCTGAGCAGGGGGTTGGGCTAGATGACCTCCAAGGTCCCTTCCAGCTCTGTTATTCTTTTTCTGTTATTCTGATGCCGCCGGTGAGCCTCTCTGTCGCCCGGCCGGTCCGAGACAGTTGCGGGGAAGGAGGCAGAGCGACGGCCGGGCGGGAGGGGGCGCCCGCGGGCTCCCTTCCGCCGATGCAGCGGCGGAGCGTCAAAGCGAAGCGAGGCAGGGATTGATGGGCGCAGCTGCGGCCGCGAGTCCCGGGGGGGCCCCCAGCGCTCGCACGCCCAGCGGACGGCGCCGGGGAGGATAGGAGCCGCGCGGGTCCCGCCGCTGCCGGTACGGGCCGGGGCTGCTGGGCGGGCAGAACAGGGCGGCCTCCAGCCTTGCAATCCTGCGCGGGAAAGGCGGCGGGTTGCTCCGCCGGAGCTGCGGCAGAGCAGCGGTGCCCCGGGAGGCCTCCGCCTCGGGGATTCCGCGCTCCCACCCACCCCCCTCGTCCGGCATCGTCCCCGGAGCCAAAGGAGCCTGGGTGGGTTGCATTGCATTGCGTTGCGTTGCGTTGCATTGCATTGCACACCAGAGCATTGAGCCGCGCGCCTCGCTCGCCTTTCCAGCGCAACGGTGCAGGCCGGGGGTCTCGGCGGTCCGGGGAAGACGGGGCTCTGGGAGGCAAAGGAGGAAGGGGCGATCTCCCCCCCCCATTTTCTGTCCGTCTCTCCTGCGGGTGGTCGCCTTTGCAGGGCCGGCACCGAGCTCCTGCCTGGGGGTGGGGGGAGGCGGTGAGTGCGCAGCCCTCCGCATTCTTGACCCTTTTTGGGGGGGGCAAGAAGGGGGCAGGCTGACCTAGCCGCTTGCACTTCCCTTATGTCCCCCCACCCTTAATATAGGTGCGGGGAAAGAGCCAGGCTTTAGAAAGGGAGAGGATATTTTTAATATTTTCCTTTGTCCGAATATGATGCACATTAAAAAAAAGGGTGGTTTTAATCCCCCAAAGCAGTTAAAAAAAAAAAAAAAAATCCAAACTTTTAGTCTTTGAAGGGCCTATCTGTGACATCTGCCTCTGTGCACGTTTGTATGTTTGTATGGTAAAAAAAGTAGCTTGCTATCTTTCAGCTAAAAGGGAAAAATGTCTGAAATAAGTCTCTCCCGCCCAAAAAAGTTAAAAGTTTACTGAGAATTAAGAAAGTGAATTTTGGATTGCAAATCTCTGCCGCTTTTTTTTTTCGTCCAAATTTTTGGTTAGTTCTTTAACTTGTGTATTATTCTTGTACTATGGTATATTGTGCTACAGGTGATTAATTCTGAAAATTCATTTAGCCTAGATTTTGGAGAGCAGAAGAGAAAGCACCCAACGAAGAAACAGAAAAAAACAACAACCCCACACCAGTTTCAAATATTGTAAATACAAGCATGCTAGTCTGGTGTAATCTTTTCTAGTTTATAATCTTTCGAATTAAAGCCATTCTGCCTTCCCCTAAAGCAGACATGTCAAACACAAAGCCCGGGGGCCAGATGGGGCCCGTGAAGTGGTTTCATGTGGCCCGCGAAGCCATCCTGGAAATAGTGAGGGAATGTCCCCACTGCTTTGGCCCTGGCCCAGGCCAGCCGGGAGCCAATGTACAATTTTGTGGTGGCCATCTATGCTGAAACGCATTCAGTCTTAGCTCCACAAGGCCGTCTGGCAACAGCGAGGAACCAGCCCCTGGCGCATCGGCCCCGTCCCCTGGGTGTATGCTGGGGAGGTGTCACCCTTTGTGAGAAATGAAGAAATGCACCATCACCTGGAAGTGGCCAGCAAATGGCCCTCGCCTACTTCACATATCCAGCTTGGTGGGCTCTGGGGGAGGGGTTGCAGCAGGCTCTTCCAGTGGACCGTGCTTTGGTGCTTGCCTCGGTCCCACCCCCTTCTGCCAGAGACCCTCAGATCTGTCCCACTCCTGTCCAGGCCCCCACAGGCACCCTTGACGCGAATGATGTAGAGCTGGCCATGCCCACCCAGTAGGCCACACCCACTCCAGCCATGCCCACCCAGTAGGCCGCACCCACCCTGGCCGCCTTCCGCTCCCCCCCCCCAGGACAACCGCAGTGCTGATGCGGCCCTCAATGAAATTGAGTTTGACACCCCTGCCCTAAAGTGAAACATTATTTAGCATCAAGCATTATTTAGCATCAAGGACTGTCATTTTGTAAAGATTTTATGTTTATTTCTAGGAGTAAAGTTGCATGTTAGGCCAGACAAGAAATTGATACAAGAGGATAAAATAGCTCAGGAGGTGGTTTTAGAATCAGACCAGCTGTATTTCAGAATTACTTTTGAAAACAGGATTCACAAAGTGAATTTCAGGTGTCTGCTCTGCTATATATTCTCATGATATTCTACCATGTGGGCTGATTTGAAAATGTTCTATATTGTAGAAGAACAGACTAGAGGAGAAAGAACAAGCAGGGCCAGAACTGGCAGAAGAACCAAACATTGGGGCAGCTGAACCTCAGTTTACATCTGGGAGACCAAGATCAAAGGAGACCCATTCGTTGGGATGGAAGCGCGCTGGGAAACGCAATGGCAACAATTCCTCAAGACGCTTCAACCCTCTCATTGCAGAGGAGGAAATCCAGCAAGATCAGGGAATTCTCCCTGGGAGGATCCCAAGGCCTTCCTGGCCTCCTTCGAACAGGTAGCCACAGCCTGCCGGTGGCCCAGAGAAGAGTGGATGGTCCATCTCCTGCCGGCCCTTTGTGGAGAAGCTGAAGAGGCCTTTCGGAGCCTGGACACCCTTCATCAAGGGGATTACGAGAACGTAACGGCCGCCATCTTGAAAGGGGAAGCCGTGAAAACGGAGGCCCAGCGTCAGCGCTTCAGGCAGTTCTGCTGCCAGGAGGTGGAAGACCCACGGAGGGTTTACGGCCACCTCCGGGAGCTCTGCCACCAGTGGCTGAAGCCAGAGAGACACACCAAAGAGGAGATCCTGGAACTGCTGATCCTGGAGCAGTTCCTGGCCAGCCTCCCTCCAAAGCTCCAGAGCTGGGTTCAACCCAGGAGGCCGGACACGTGTTCCCAGGCGGTGGCTCTGGTGGAGGACTTCCTGCAGAGCCAGCAAAGGACCAAATCAGAAACACGTCTGGTATGATTTGCGGATATCAACCTTGGTGTTTTTTTAACCTGTGGTATATTTGGGCATTGCAAAGACCTGCAGTTACAGCCAGTCCTTGATTTAGGTGGTTCAACGTTACGATGGACCCCTCCAAAGGGACTTACAATCTGATTTTGAAGTCCCCTCACTCCCTGGTCACGGAACCACGTTTCGGACCCTTGGCAACCGGTCCACTTTTACAGTGGGTTTGCAGCATGCTGTGATCAGGTGACCACGATTCAGGTGGTTTTGCCAGAGCCCATGTTTCCTCCTGGTTTCCAGCAAATACCGGCCCACAGCGAACAGTCGGTTCACTTAACAACCACTGCAAAAAAAAAAAAAAGTGCAGTCTGGTCATGTGGTGACCTGCTTTAAGACCATCACAACTTAATTGCTGTAATTGCCAGGCTCGATTATGGTCATAAATCGAGGACTAAAGAAATCGAGTAGAACAGTTTGCCCTCAGAAATCGTGGGCGCTCCATCACTGGAGGTTTTTAAGAAGAGACTGGACAGTCACTTGTCTGAGATGGTATAGGGCAGGGGTAGGCCACCTTGGCTCTTTTATGAGTCGTGGACTTCAACTCCCAGAATTCCTGAGCCAGCATGGCTCAGCTTGGAAACCTCTCCCTTTCCCCTCAGCATGGCTGGCTCAGGAATTCTGGGAGTTGAAGTCCACGAGTCATAAAAGAGCCGTGATTGCCTACCCCTGCCCTGGGAGTCACGTGATCACAATTCAGGCACTTGTTTTGATACCTAAGGCGGGACTAGAACTCAACAGTCTCCGGGTTTCTAGCCTGGTGCCTTAACTGCTAAACCAGGGGTAGGCAACCTTGGCTCTTTTATGACTTGTGGACTCCCAGAATTCCTGAGCCAGCATAGTTCAGCTTGGAAACCTCTCCCTTTCCCCTCAGCAGGGCTGGCTCAGGAATTCTGGGAGTTAAAGTCCACGAGTCATGAAAGAGCGAAGATTGCCTACCCCTGGGATAGGGTCTCCCGCCTGAGCAGGGGGTTGGACTAGAAGACCTCCGAGGTCCCTTCCAGCTCTGTTCCAATTGATTGATTGATTATCTCTAGTCACTTGCAACTTAATGAAAGGAAAAGGCACCTCTGAATCATTGTCACTTCCTATTGACTGTAGCACTTTTGAGAGAGCCAGAGTTTTAGGGCTGATTCCATTTACACCAGATTTTTTTTTTTTTCATATTATTCTGTAACTCAGCGGTTCTCACCCTATGGGTCGGGACCCCATTTGGGGTCGAACGACCATTTCACGGGGGTCGCCAAACAACGCAGTTGGCCATTTTTTCCCCCTTTTCCTTAGCTGTGCTACTCCCTTTTATTCTATTGGCTTTTGAAAGCCAATAGAATAGACTCTCTTGAATAGAGTCTAATTCTATTGGCTTTCAAAAGCCAATAGGAATTGTCCAGGCTGTCTCTGCCCTGCTGAGCCCGCCAAAAGTCCCATTCTGCAAACGGTGCTGCACCAGTTGAGTAGTCCTCGACTTACGACCGGTTGAGTAGTCCTCGACGTACGACCAGTTGGGGGGGATCGCGGCATTAAAAAGGTTGAGAACCACTGCTGTAACTGAACTGACCTCATAAGACAAAGAAACCAGTCCAGCAGGGGGCTGGACTAGAAAACCTCCAAGGTCCCTTCCAGCTCTATTCCCTATTCTGATTCAAACCCCCCCCCCCCAAGATTATGTTAAAATCTATCCCTCCTTCTTTCAGGACCCCCCAAATAAAGAACTGGCTGATTTTGAACAGGCAGAGGAGGACCCCCTGGAGTCTATGAAGAGAGAAAACGTTGAAGTGGAGATCAAAGTGCCAGGTAAGAATTATAATGCAGGAATGCGTCTCCTTCTGCGTTGGCATTTTTGAGTCTTTTAAAACTGGGCAGCCAAAACCTACATTCAAAGCTCTTGTAATAGTGCTTGATTCTGTCTTCTGGAAGAGAAGATTTTCAAAGAAATGCACTTTGTCCAGATCCATGAGAATTGGACTAGAACAGGGGTCCCCAACCTGTGGGTGGCAGCCCGGTAGTGGGCTGTGGCCTTCTGGCCACCAGGCCGCGGGACAGGCTGGCCAGTGTGCATGCATGTGTGCGCACACCCCCTCACTTGTGGTAGCGCTGTGGCCATGAGGTGCAAAAACACCTCCACTGTGCCTCAGGGCGCAAAAACAGGCCGCCGCTGCAATGCGAGGCGCAAAAACGGCCGTCGACGCACCACAGGGCGCAGAAACAAAGCGCTGCACCATGCAAGAACAGGGCAGGGCCAGTGAGTATCACGCAGGCATTAGCCCCGCCCCGTTTGCGGCATGGGCATGCTCACGGCCCCGTGCATGTGCGCGCATGCATGTAAAATGCTTCCCCCTCCCTTTTCCTCCGTTCCGCCAACCGACAAAGGTTGGTGACCTCTGGACTAGAAGATACGGTTTACCAGTCCTTTGATTTGCATCGCAAAGTACCAGTTATTGAATTTTTTTTCCTTGATTTGGCTGAGTTATTTGAACAGTGCAGAGAGCTCCATGAATCCCTCGGCTCCTCCATACGTTGCCTGGTTTTCCTCATAAATTCAAAAGGATTTAAATTCTCAAACAATTGAACCAGAGCTTGGTAGGAATACTAATTTAAAAAAAAATCCATTGCTTTCCTTAATGGGAGGAGGATGCAAGGAAAACTGACTGATGGGGATTTGGGGAGAGGCATTGCCTCACTCTTGGAACACAAGACACATCCTTAGCTCCTGCGGGGGATCCCTTCCAATTCGGTTATTCTGATTCTTAGGCATAGAATCCCCTACACTTCTTCCTCTTAAATCTCACATTGCGTCTGCAAAAATCTCTCAGCAAGGAGAGGCCTTTTAGGCTGCTACGCACCAGCCACTTAGACTAGAAGCCACATACAAATTCCCCTGCTAACGTCTGCCTTCCATCACCTGCAGGCCATGGAACCAAATCCCCAACTCACATCAGCTCGTTGCTTCCTCTGGAAGGACCTGGAATGGTCCAAGGTGGGCTGAAAGAGGTAGGTCCTGCTCTGGGTGGGGGGGATAGTTTTTGGGCCAGGTTTGAATATGATGCTATTTACGACATTTCTGACTAGAATTCCATTCGTTGGTCCTGTTAGCAGGGAGTTTATTTCCAATTGATCTCTGCAGATTTGGTGAAATGTCTTCTGCAACGTATAAATCCCAGGATGATACGCAAACTGGCCTTGAAGTTCAAGAAAGCAGAGTCCTCGACGTACGACCGCAATGGAGCCCAACATTTCTGTTGATGAGTGAGACACTTGTTAAGGGAGGCTGGCCCCATCATACGGCCTTTCTTGCCACCCGCTGTTAATTGAATCCCTGCGGTTGTTAAATTAGCAACATGGTTGAATCTGGCTTCCCCATTGACTTTGCTTGTCAGAAGGTCACAAATGGTGATCACACAACCCCCCCCCCAGGACATTTGCAATCGTTATAAATGTCAGTTGCCAAGCATCTGAATTTCGACCACACGATCATGGGGATACAGCGGCGGTCATTGAGTGTGGGAAAAAAAAACAGGTGTAAGTTCCTTTTTTCAGTGCCGCCATAACTTTGAATGGTCACTAAATGAAGTGTTGTAAGTCAAGGGCCCCCTGTATGTAGAAACGCAGCCCAAAGTTATACAGGTAGTCCTTGAGTTATAACTGCCCATCGCAGTTCTAATTTGTGAATCGTAAAACAGGTCGGTTATGGGGCCAGCCTTATTTTGCAACTTTTTTTGTGTGTCAGTTGTTAAGCAAATCCATAGCCGCTAAGCGAACGCTATAATTGTTAGGCCAGGGGTAGGCCACCTTGGCTCTTTTATGACTCGTGGACTTCAACTCCCAGAAGTCCTGAGCCAGCCTGGCTCAGTCGGAAACCTCTTTCCCCTCAGCATGGCTGGCTCAGGAATTCTGAGAGTTGAAGTTCACGAGTTATAAAAGAGCCAAGGTTGCCTACCCCTATGTTAGGTGAACCAATGGTTTACTATGGGCCGGGGTTTGGAGAAAACCGTCAGTAAATGTCGGTTTTCAGCAAAGGCATTGTAAATCAAGGTCATATGACCATGGGATGCTATAAATAGCCATAAATGCAGCCTGGATGATGAGCATCCCAAGTTTGGTCACATGACTGCAGGGGAGGGGCAACTGTTGGAACTTCCGAGTCGTAAATACCCCCCCCATAGATCTCTCAAAACTTTAAACATTGACCAGTCATAAATTGAGGACTACCTGTGATAATTTTGTGGAGAATAAATTGTACAAGAAGTCCTCAACTTACAACAGTTCATTTAGTGACCGTTCAAAATTACAAGGGCACAGAAAAAAGTGACTTATGACCCTTTTTCTGCAGTTACAACCTTTGTAGCATCCCCACGATCATGTGATCAAAATCCAGATGTTTGGCCAACTGGTTCATACTTATGACCGTTGCAGCGTCTGGGGGGGGGCACACGTGATCACTTTTTGTGACTTCCTGACCAGCAAAGTCAATGGGGAAGCCAGATTCACTTAACAAAACCAGGTTACCAACTTGAAACTGCGGTGATTCATGAGTTCGGTTGCCAAGAGTCCAAATTTTGATCATGTGACCACGGGGGATGCTACAATGGTCGTAAGTGTGAGAAATGGTCCTAGGACACTTTTTTTCAGTGCCATTGTAACTTCAAACAGTTACCAAATGAATGGTTGTAAATCAGGGACTACCTGTATTTATTCTTCTCTAGCATTCCGCTTAGTCAATTGTTACTTAGAGTAGTTACGAGTCAATTTGCAATTAATCCCATGGGATTGGTTGAAATGTCTCCTTCAGATGCACAGCCTGGGATGATGCAACAGGCAGGAAGATTCCAGAGCAGTTGCTCTCCAAAATACAACAGATGAGGAATTTCTGGAAAAAAAACAAAAAAAACCACCAGTGTATACCAGTGATGGCGAACCTTTTAGAGACCGAGTGCCCAAACTGCAACCCAAAACCCACTTATTTATTGCCAGGTGGGCGTGGCCCACTGGATGGGCGTGGCTGTGGTGGTCATGGCAGACTGGGTGGGTGTGGCCAAGGTGGGCGTGGTCACCTCCATGTTGCTCATGGAGAGGGACACCTGTGGGGGCTGGGCAGGGTTGGAGGAGATCCAGGGGGTCTCTGGCAGGTGGGGTGGTGGGTAGGAAGCTCGTCTTGCAGGGTGAGGCGAGGCAGGGTCGGGGTGCCATTATCTCAGGGCAAGGCAAGGCAGGGGCCGGGGCAGTTTCTGCCTGACACCATCGGCCCCCGCGCACAGAGGCCAGCGAGCACATGGGGGCCGACAGTGTCCGTCAGCAGCCACAGCCTGCCGGCCCCTTGACCGGCGCACTCTGGGGCTCTGCAGCCCGCCACCAGCAGTTCAGAGAAGTGCCCACAGAGAGGGCTCTGAGTGCCCCCTCTGGCACGTGTGCCATAGGTTCGCCATCACTGGTGTATACCATCAAATCTGGGGCTGTTAACGCCACCAAAACAATACAGATAGTTCTGACTTACCAATCACAATTGGGACCAACAACTCCATCACTAAGTAACATAGCCGTTAAGTGAAATATCATACGATCGCACCTAATTTGCAACGTCAGTTCCTGCTATGGTCAGAAAATCTGACGGCATGTAATTGCGACTTGCGACGTCCCGCTGGCTTCCCCAATGACTTTGCTTGTTGGAAATCAGCCGGGAAGCTTGAAAATGGGGACTGCGTACATACGTGCCTGTTACCAAGCACTCAGATCTTGAGCCCGTGACTGCAGGGACGCTGTGATGGCCCCAGGTTTAAGCCGCAGTCATAAATCTCCTTTTTGTAGCACCATCATAAACTGTGAGGGATTGCTAAATGAGCAGTGGATAAGCAAGGACTGCCTACACTGAGATATAGGCTGGTTAACCCTGTTGCAGGAAACATTGATCAGTGGAGTGAATATAGTATTGCAATTAACGGTTCTGGTTTTGGCAATGAAGATTTATTGTGAGTTTTTGGTGACAGGATCTGATGGGAAGGATGTGGTGTCTTCTCCTCTTTGCAGGAGCTGATGGACCTCAAAGAAACAGATGTGCGTTTGCAGGCAGCTAAGCAGAGGCTGACCCTCGCAGCCCACCAGAACGTGGCCTGGCAGGTCCTACAGGAAGAACATGGAAATATAGGTTGTTTAAGTAAGGACGGTACGTATACAGTCCAGCAAGTCTGGGAAACGTCAGCCCACCTATTTGCTTATTTCTATGTACTTATTGCAGATAGGAAAATAGATACATGATTTCTCCTGTAGTGAACTGGGGGGGGGGTTTCAGGAAAAGGTCTCTTCTAATTGTTTGGAAGAACAGAAAGGAGTGATTAAACCTGACCACTTGCTTCAAAAGAAGCACAATCTAGGTATTTTTTTTATGTATTCTTAGTTCTTGAACAAAATTAAAGTACTGGGAAGAGTCGCCATTCAAACAGATCTATCTATCTACCTACCTACCTACCTATCCTCCATTCATATCTATCGTCCATTCATATCTATTTATATCGTCCATTCATATCTATCATCCATATCTATCTATCTATCTATCTATCTATCTATCTATCTATCTATCTATCTATCTATCTATAGCAACACAGTGCTAGGCTGCATTAACAGAGGGATAGAATCAAGATCACGCGAAGTATTAATACCACTCTTCAATGCCTTGGTAAGGCCACACTTGGAATACTGCATCCAGTTTTGGTCACCACGATGTAAAAAAAATGTTGAGACTCTAGAAAGAGTACAGAGAAGAGCAACAAAGATGATTAGGGGACTTGAGGCTAAAACATATAAGGAACGGTTGCGAGAATTGGGTATGTCTAGTTTAACGAAGAGAAGGACAAGGGGGGACATGATAGCAGTATTCCAATATCTCAGGGGCTGCCATAAAGAAGAGGGAATTAAGCTATTTTCCAAAGCACCTGAAGGCAGGACAAGAAGCAACGGGTGGAAACTCATCAAGGAGAGAATCAACCTAGAACTAAGGAGAAACTTCCTGACAGTGAGAACAATTAATCAGTGGACCAGCTTGCCTCCAGAAGCAGTAAATGCTCCAACACTGGAAGTTTTTAAGAAGAGACTGGACAGCCATTTGTCCGAAATGGTGTAGGGTTTCCTGCCCGAGCAGGGGGTTGGACTAGATGACCTCCAAGGTCCCTTCCAACTTTACTACTATTATTATTATTATTATTATTATTATTATCTATCTATCGTCCATTCATATCTATTTAACTATCTATCTGTCTTTATCATCCTTTCATATCTATCTATCTATCTATCTATCGTCCATTCATATCTATTTATCTGTTATTTATCATCCATTCATATCTATCTGTCTGTCTGTCTGTCTGTCTATCTGCCTATCTATCATCTGTCATCTATCGTCCATTCATGTCTCTGTCTGTCTGTCTATCTGTTATCTATCTGTTATCTATCGTCCATTCATATCTATCTGTTATCTATCGTCCATTCATATGTGTCTCTATCTATCTATCTATCTATCTATCTATCTATCTATCTATCTATCTATCTATCTATCTATCTCTATCGTCCATTCATGTCTATCTGTCTGTCTGGCTCAGCTTGAAAACCTCTCCCTTTCCCCTCAGCATGCCTGGCTCAGGAATTCTGGGAGTTGAAGTCCACGAGTCATAAAAGAGCCAAGGTGGCCTACCCCTGGCTTAGGGGCATTCATATTCTCAAAAACTGCAAAACTCAGATAAAGGGGGACATTTGATGGCAGTGAGGGGGAAAAAAAATCAAGCATTCTCCCTACAATGGATGATTGTCCACAAAAGCTGATGGAGTTAGCAGAGATGGCTAAATCGACTGCTTTAATTAAAGAAAATAATACAATAAACTTTGCTTCTACTTGGAAACTGCTTCTGGAATTTGTGCTTGTGGTGGAAAAAAAATGGAACTTTGATTTTGGATTGTGCTGGTTAGACAGATTTGTTGTTATAGAAATGACCAGTATATATTATTATGCAAAAGTAAAAAAAAAGTGAGGCTGTATATTATCACCTTATTCTGTGCTAAAAAGAGTCGAAAGTCAACGGCTTTTTTTCTTTTTCCCTTTTTTCTTACATTTTTTCCTATTCCCCCTTCCCTCCCTGACTTTCCCATTATTTTAATTTTCCTTTGTATTTTATACTTTGATAAACTGATAAAAATTTGTCAGCAGAAGAAAAAAAATCAAAGCATGCTTCATCGCAAATAAAAGGAGATTTAATGCACTTTTTTTTTTTTTTGAAACTGTCCATAAAGCTTCGGGGCATAGTTAAAAGATTTTTCTCTCGCTCTTCTAGGTAACAGAAGGGAGAATAGGGTTAAAGTGGAGAATTTTCAAGGTGGAGAAGATGCAGAAGAGCCATGCAGGAGAGACCCCGTGATAAGCCCTGGGAATCTGCCATCATTAAAAGCTGAAATGGAAGAAGAAAGTTGTGAATCCAATCAGCAGAGATGGAAGCCACCGCTAGAAATGGAGGATACGCACAACAGACTCGAAAAGGATCTTACTACTGCTGTGACAGAAAAGACCAACAAGGGTAAAGTGTCCATGTTCTCCCAGTACGATAGAAGATACCTCTACCAGGTGGAACTAAATCCAATAACTTCTACGGAGAAATTGGAGCAACATCCTCAAAGATTTGAGGACAGCTACCAGCATACTTCAAACATGAATCAAGAGGAGAAACACATGACAAGTGAGCAAAGGGTTGAAATCTCTGAGAATGGAACAGGGAATAACTTGAATGCTTACCTAAGTGACCATCTCGGAGAAACACACAACAATTCTCCTGAATGTGGGAAAACCTTTACGAACACAAACTCACTAAGCAGGTTTCCGGTGTGCGCTCCTGAAGAGGAATGGTACGAGTGTTCCCACTGTGGGAAGGGCTTCAACAAGGCAAAATACTGGAAGCAGCACCAGAAAATTCACACCGGGGAGAAGCCGTACAAATGTTCCCACTGTGGGAAGTGCTTCAATCAGTCGGGAAATCTGAAGACTCACCAAAGGATTCACACTGGCGAGAGACCCTACAAATGTTCCCAGTGTGGGAAATGCTTCAGTCACACCAACTGCTTGAAGATGCACCAGAGGATTCATACTGGGGAGACCTACAAATGTACTCAGTGTGGGAAATGTTTCAGAGAGACGGGAATCCTGAAGAGGCATCAACGGACTCATACCCGAGAGAGACCCTACAAATGTTCCCAGTGTGGAAAATGTTTCAGCCTGTCGGGAATCCTGAAGAGACATCAAAGGACCCACACCGGGGAAAGACCGTACAAATGTTCTCAGTGCGGGAAGGGCTTCAATCAGATGGGAACGCTGAAGAAACACCAGCGAATTCACACAGGAGAGAAGCCGTACAAGTGTTCTCACTGCCAGAAATGCTTCAACGAGAGAGGAAATTTGAAGAGGCATCAGAGAATCCATGCCCGAGAGAGCCTTAACATCATTCAAGAATTCATCCTGGAAAACGACCATATCAATGTTATCAAGGTGGGAAAGACTTCTTCTACAGAGCAAGAATTCTAAAGTGACTTTGAAAAAAAAAACAAAAATCATGCTCGATGGACACACTTAGGACATTCTTAGTAAGTAATGTCTAGAATAGGGATCTCTAAACTTGCCAGCTTTAAGATATCTGGAGTTCAACTCCCATTTCCAATTCTGGGAGTTGAAGTTCACAAGTCTTAAAAGTTGCTAAGACTTATGGACTTCAATTCCCAGGATTCCCCAGCCAGCATGGCTAGTTGAGTACTTCTGGGGGATGAAGTCCATAAGTCTTAAGAGTTGCCAGGTTTGGAGACCCTGGTCTAGTGCAGGGGTAGGCCACCGTGGCTCTTTTATGACTCGTGGACTTCAACTCCCAGAATTCCTGAGCCAGCATGCTGAGGGGAAAGGGAGAGGTTTCCAAGCTGAGCCAGGCTGGCTCAGGAATTCTGGGAGTTGAAGTTCACGAGTCATGAAGGGGCCATTGTTTCCCCATGCTGGCTCAGGAATTCTGGGAGTTGAAGTCCACGAGTCATAAAAGAGCCAAGGTGGCCTACCCCTGGTCTAGGGGATAAGTTGAACAGATTGCCGCTTCTACCTATAAAGAAAAATCATAGCATTGGGAATAAATTGTTAAACTATTCAGAATGGTTGGGGATTCTCTTTTCATTGATTTGACCCAGTAGCGGTTGGCAGAATATCTGCGATGAACTATTTCAACTCGGATTCCTGCACAGAAGCGGGATTGGATTTGATGGCTTTTTCTCCGTTTTTTCTACAATCGTATGCCAGAGATACATTATTATAAATATTCTCAATGAAATAGTTATGCAGCAGAGCTGGAGGGACACCTGACACAGAATCTATACAGATAGTAAAGATTCAACTATGTGAAATCAAGTAAGAAATTTGGCCCCGCTTTTGTGCCACGAAGCGTGCAGAAGGTTTCTGTGGACATCCCTTGTATTTCTCCACCACCTTGCTGAATAAAAGCAACTTTTCATTTTATACTATTTGTATAGACATTTATGAGGTAGGAAATAAACAGAAATGAAAACTGTCTGGATTCCCAGCATTGATTTTTGTCATTTTTATTGTGGCTGTTCAGCTCGACTGGGTCGAGTTTTCCATCAGGACTCTTATTATGTTAACAGGGAGTCCTTGACTTACGACCAGGCGTTTAATAACCATTCAAAGTTACAACGGTGCTGGAAAAAAAGGTAACTTACGACCTGGTTTCACACTTGATGACTTCGCACTCCCCTCCCCATTTGACAACCGGCATTTATTTATGGTTTGCGCAATAGTGAGTAGAGAAAATGTGACAGTGATACAAAAGGAGCCGGAGTATCGGTGGCAGAAAGTCTGCTCGGAGTGGGGTGACAGGAGCCCCTTGTAGTCCAGCCCAACTCAGCTCAAAACCCAGGAGACTACAGTTAGTCCTTGACTTGCAACCGTAATTAAGCCTGGAATCAAGGTCGTAAGTTGTGCCGCTGGTTAAATGGGTCATCACATCACCAGCCTGATTTTATGACATTTATTGTGGCAGTCATTAAGCAAATTTTATGACTGGAGCCGTGGTGGTGCAGTGGTTAGAATGCACTATTGCAGGCTAACTGCTCACAGCCAGGAGTTCAATCCTGACCAGCTCAAGGTTGTCTCAGCCTTCCATCTTTCCGAGGTCGGTAAAATGAAGACCCCGATTGTTGGGGATCAGTATGCTGACTCTGTAAATCACTTGGAGAGGGCCGTAAAGCACTGTGAGGCAGTATATAAGTCTTTAAGTGCTATTGCTATTGTTAAGCAAGCATATTGTCCACAGTGGACAATTTTGCTGCAAACTGTAATGTGGTCCAATCAGTGGCAAGGAGGCCAACACATTTTTGCTAATTTGCCAAAACAGGAACTATTCCCAAGTTGCAACTCCCATTCTATGGGCAAAGACAGATCGGTACGTGGGACACCATTTTCCTGAATTACATTGAGGCCTTTTCTGAATGGGTGGAAGCTTTCTCCGTGTGCAATAAAATTGCAAATGCCACTGCAAGGTTATTGCCCCCACGGGTCTTTTGTTGTTGGGGCCTGCCATTCCAAATTTCAAGAAAAAAGAGCACACATCTTGTGTTACCCGACTCTTTGAAGCCTTTACCCCACAATTGGGAATAAAGAAACTCTTGTCTCCAATAACCACATACATGGGCAGACTTTTTGCCAGCCATTCTAGCAGCTTTTAGGGGCTCCATCTCCAGGTCAGCTGGACACAGCCCCTATGAAATCGTGTTTGGTTTCCCATGTTCACTAGGAGACCAGGGGAGGATGCACTGATTGGGAGTCCAGAATCTCTTCGCAGAAATTGCCAAACCTAAGGCTGTTTCTAGAGCAGGGCTTTTCAACCTTTTCACCCATTGTACCACTTTTAGGATACAGCAATATCCGAGTACCACCAGTCGCCTAGCAAGGTGTCAAAAACTTGACCAAAAGAAAAAAAAAGGAAAAAAGTGATAAAGTACAGGTAATCCTCGACTTACAACAGTTCACTTAGTGACTGTACAAAGTTACAATGGCACTGAAAAAAGTGCCTCCCAAGCCACAGCTGAGCAAGACATCTGCTTGCCCGCTTGGTGGCACTCTTCCTCTTGTCTGAGGTTTTCATTGTTGTGAGCATGGATTGGCAGTGAGGGTGGGGTGGGAAGGTGTTTGGTTTTTATTCCCTCCGTCTGCTGGGTGGTTGCAGCAGGTTTTGGTCACTTCATATGACCCTGGGATACTGTGACTGTCATAAATATGAATCACTTGCCAAGCATCTGAATGTAAATCACAGGACCCTGGAGAGGCTGCAACATTCCAGTTGATTGGCACTTCTGGGCTCAGCAGAAGCTTCTGGGCTCAGCAGATCAGTGCTGCTTTCTAGCTGATTGGTGCTTCTTCAGGGCTCAGCAGAAGCACCGGGATCAGCGCCAAGCTCCAGCTGGAGCCTGGCGCTGATCCTGGCACTGATCCTGGCGCTTCCACTGAGCCCTGACAGCCCTGAAGAAGCGCCAATCAGCTGGAAAGCGGCACTGATCCTGGCGCTTCCGCTGAGCCCTGACAGCCCTGCAGCTCCAGCCGTCTCTCGCTCAGGCTTGTGCAGTGCTGCCACCGGTTCAGCTCATTCCCCTCCACTACCACTTTTCTAGGATGGTTGTGTACCACCTGCCAGGTGCCAATGTACCACAGATGGTATCCGTACCACTGGTTGAAAAGTCCTGGACTAGATGACCTCCAAAGTCCCTTCCAACATTATTATTATTATTATTATTATTAATCCACAGGTGTACATGGACACAAACCGAGGCGTGTTCCTCCCTCCCCCATTTTTTCCCCTTCTCAGTTTTATCCACAGGATCCAAGACAGGAAGACCTACAGGCCTACATTCTTTTCAAAGTACATCTCATGGGACAATCAATGCCTAGAACAGTGGTTCTCAATCTTTCTAATGCCGCGACCCCATAATACAGTTCCCCATGTTGTGGTGACCCCCAACCACTTATACATCACCGGGTGCCAGGGGCCTGGCCAAAGAAAAGGGGGAAAAATGGCGGACAGCCTTGTTTGGCGACCCCGTGAAATGGTCGTTCGACCCCAAATGGGGTCCCGACCCACAGGTTGAGAACCACTGGCCTAGAAGACCCGCAGCACAGTTATAACAACAGTGTTTGTAGAATTGGCACAAGCAACTTACGAACAACTCAGCTTTTTGTGTAAGGGAACTTTTGATATTCGGGGAGGTCACATCCAGCTATTTCTTTGTGAAGTACTCTCAAGCCTAGAAGAGATAGCTACTGCTTATGACTTGTGGCCGGGAATGTTCTTTCCCTTTGGATCCTCTCCAGACATGGTGGATCTAAGAAAAGTGACATGCATCCTAGTTAAAAGTATCAACCCCACATCTCCCCTCATTGAAGCTCTGACCAAAGAAATGCCAGACATCAGGACCGCAGTCATCCAAAATTGTGTGGCTATTGATTATGTACTATTAAGGGCGGGTCAAGACTGAATCCTTTCAAAGTCTTTATTGTTTTAACCTAACCAACTGTCAGAAGTAAGTCTTCATCCTGGTTCATCCAAGCCGGGGATAAATAAGCAACATGGCGACTGCTTTGGGAAGAAGGTTACAGTTTATTGAAGAAGCAGGAAGATGGTCCTTGCAAGAAAGAGCAGAGGAGAGGAAAGAGGAGTTGAGCACATGGGCAGTAGGTTTTTATATCCCCTCTAGCCTTGTTTGGAATAGTTTCCTGTTCCTGTGCCATGAACCTTGAGGCTATTTCTGAGTGTTTGTCTAGGCCAGTGGTTCTCAACCTGTGGGTCGGGATCCCATTTGGGGTCGAACGACCATTTCACGGGGGTCGCCAAACAACGCAGTCCGCCATTTTTTCCCCCTTTTCCTTAGCTGTGCTACTCCCTTTTATTCTACTGGCTTTTGAAAGCCAATAGAATAGACTCTTGAATAGAGTCTAATTCTATTGGCTTTCAAAAGCCAATAGGAATTGTCCAGGCTGTCTCTGCCCTGCTGAGCCCACCAAAAGTCCCATTCTGCAAACGGTGCTGCACCAGTTGAGTAGTCCTCGACTTACGACCAGTTGAGTAGTTCTTGACTTATGACTGGTTGGGGGTCGCGGCATTAAAAAGGTTGAGAACCACTGGTATAGGCCTTGATATCTGTGGTTTAATCATATTATCATATCCTGCTTCCCAGGTGATGGGGCTAATGACTCCTAGAGTTTGGGTGGGGCATGCAGATTTTCTCTTTGTCTTCTTGAGTGCTCTGGCTCCAACTTTCTGATGGTTTTACATCTGCATTTGTATGGGGCTAGCTCTTGCTTGGGGCAGAGAGATAGATTTGGGGCCAGGTTTGGTTTTAAAAAATCCTTTGGAGGAAAAATATATTTTTCTGCCCTTTTAATATTTCCTTCTCTGGGCTAACTTCCCTCACAACAATGACAATTACACTGAAGCAAGACTAGCCAAGTTCAAAACTATAGCCATTCACATCTCCCAAGATCCGGAGCGGTGGAATTGGTTTTGGCTCGTGTCTTGGTTACCTGATTTGGGATCCTGGAGGAGGAAAATTGTTCCAATGTTTCCGTTTGAATAATTTGCCTTTGTATGAATTTCCTCCGTCTTTCAGTGTATTAGATCTGCTTTCCCAAAATGTTATTTCTGTGTGTTAAATTTGTCTTCCTGAAGTACTGTACCTCCATACCAACTGGATGGCTACTAACCTACCGGCAAGAATGAATACAAAAGCCTGTTGATGTTCTGAATGGGTGATGAGCGGGCCCCATTTTGTGGCATCTCCTGATGCCAAGGGAAGAAATGTGTGAGACTAGGCCAAAGCCTAGTAAGGCCTGTAAGCAGGGTGGAGAAAAGCCAGGGAAAGGAACCAAGTTGTTAAGGGAACAAAAGGGAGCACATGGGAAGCCCCTCCCCAAGTCTGACCAGCAAAGCAGCTGCATGGGAAGCCCCTCCCCACCAATTCTGGGATAAAAAGAGGTCCTGAAGCCTGCCCAGTTTTTTTGAGTTGCTTTTGGATCCCAGACTTGGCAGCTTCCCTTCCTCTGACTAGTGCCTGGCAGTCTAGTAGTGGACGCTGGTAAGTGTGTCTCTGTGTGTGTTCAAGAACAAAAATATATCAATAAAAGTTGGCTCTTATTCTAAATGCACTGGGCCTCTGTGTATTTTAAAGAACCATTTGTGCCTCAGTGTTCAGTTGATTTGGGATTGAGTGTGGCAGTTTTCCAGGCCTGTGAGTGTGTGTGTGTGTGTGTGTGTGTGAGTGACCATAAGCTGAACCTGAGAGCACCTTTGTGTAACAGCTGGGGACCAGGGGTTGGGGACCCCTGATTTAGAGACTCTAAATGAATCTAACCCTAAGTGGGTTTTTTTCAGGCAATATCCCAACATAGCTGCTAATTTGTACCCAGGTATGCCAAATGGGCGTAGTCTATTATTGGGTTATTTAACCCTTGCAGAAGATCATCTGCAATCTGAGCAACAGACCTGAAAGAATTAATCAGTGAAACAACTTGCCTCCAGAAGTTGTGGGTGCTCCATTACTACAAGTTTTGGACAAGAGTCCAAGTATTCTTTATGTTGTCCATCTAGCTTTCCCAACCTGTTTATTACCTAACTACCCAACCACTTTAGCAAGCAACTAAATTTCATTTTTAATGTGTGCCAATGACAAAATCTCTCTCTCTCTCTCTCTCTCTCTCTCTCTCTCCCTCCCTCTCTCTCTCTCTCACACACACACACACACAGAGGACATGCCCTTTCCTGGGGTGTGTGGCTGATGGGTGAGGAGTTGCTCTTCTAATCCTATCACTCTGCTATTGTTAGCTATCAGGTTTTGCTGAAAGGGATTTTGAAAGATCCTGGCTTGAATGGATTTCTGCAGATAATGATGATGATGATGGAAGGGACCTTGGAGGTCATCTAATCCAACCCCCTGCTCAGGCAAGAAACCCTATACCATTTCGGAGAAATGGCTGCCCAGTCTCTTCTTAAAAACTTCCAGTGTTGGAGCATTCACCGCTTCTGGAGGCAGGTTGTTCCACTGGTTAATTGTTCTGTCAGGAAGTTTCTCCTTAGTTCTAGGTTGCTTCTCTCCTTGATTAGTTTCCATCCGTTGCTTATTGTCCTGCCTTCAGGCGCTTTGAAAAATAGCTTGACTATTTAGAAAATAGCTTTGACTATATCTATCTGTCCATCCTTCCATCCATCCATCCATCCATCCATCTGTATCTAGATAGATAGATAGATAGATAGATAGATAGATAGATAGATAGATAGATAGATAGATAGATAGATAGATAGATAGATAGATAGATAGATGTCTGAAATGGGATAGGGTTTCCTGTTTGAGCAGGGGGCTGGACTAGAAGACCTTCAAGGTCCCTTCCAGCTCTTATTCTGATTCGGATAACCTCCGTCGCCCGTCCGGCCCTAGAGAGCTGAGGGGAAGGAGGCAGAGCCGCGGCCGGGCGGGAGGGGGCGCCCGCGTGTTTCCTTCCGCCGATTCAGCGGCGGAGCGTCAGGGCGAAGCGAGGCGGAGATTGGTGAGCGCAGTTTCGGCCGTGAGTCTCGTGGGGCCTCCAGGGATCGCAAGCCCAGCGGACAGCGCCGGGGAGGAGAGGAGCCGCGCGGGTACGGGCCGGAGTTGTTGGGCGGGTAGAGCAGGGCGGCCTCCAACCTTGCAATCCTGCGCGGGGAAGGCGGCGGGTTGCTCCCGAGCTGCGGCAGAGCAGCGTGACGCCTCCGCCTCGGGGATCCCGCGCTCCCACCCAGCCCCCTCGTCCGGGATCGTCCTCGGAGCCAAAGGAGCCTGGGCGGGTTGCGTTGCATTGCATTGCACACCAGAGCCTTGAGCTGCGCGCCTCGCTCGCCTTTCCAGCGCAACGGTGCAGGCCGGAGGCTTGGCGGGCCGGGGAAAGACGGGGTTCTGGGGAGCAAAGGAGGAAGGGGCGATCTCCCCCCCCCATTTTCTGTCCGTCTCTCCTGCGGGTGGCCGCCTTTGCAGGGCCGGCACCGAGCTCCTGCCTGGGGGTGGGGGGAGGCGGGAGGCGGCGAATGCGCTGGTTCCGGCTTAATCCGTTTGGGAGAGGAGAAGGGGACAGGCCGGTTTGCACTTCCCTTGTGCCCGCTGGCCCCGAATAAAGAGGCAGAGAAAGAGGTTTTAATCTGGTAATGCTGTTGTTCCTTTCACCAGTGGATCCGCTGCCAGCATCCTATGATTTCAGCTGTAAAAATGTAGGTCCACTTTGATGTGCAAAAGTAAGATCCATTGCAATAGAAGAGAGCACCCCTAACTCCGGGTTAAACTACCTGCAGGGGTCTTCAAACTTGGCCCTTTTACAATTTGTGGACTTCAACTCCCAGAATTCCTCAGCCAGGCTGAGGAATTCTGGGAGTTGAAGTCCACAAGTCGTATAAGGGCCAAGTTTGAAAACCCCTAAACTACGGGGTCCTTAATGCTCTCTGAGGTGGTTGTTTGCTTTCCAACGTCTCATTACCTGATTAGGTAACATCATCAGCTCTTAGGGCAGCAAGGACTCAGAAGAATAATGTAGTAGCCTTTAAAAGTCCCAAAAGTGCTTTTCTCCAAAAGGCAACTGGACTTTGTTTTTGTTTTTTTTTCTTTGAAAATATTTGGCTCCTCATCTAAGAAGCTTCTTTAATTCCTTCTTGGATGAGAAGCGAAACGTTTTCAAAAGAAAAGCGGAAAAAAAACCCCCAAGAATGTCTAGTTGCCTTTTGGGACAACCATGACTGGATGATTGAGAATCTTCATAGTGTCCTAGTCTTTAAAGTGCTGAATGTTTTTAAAGGCTTCCTTTGATTATTCTTTTTTATTCTACCCATATTTTGTGGTATAACCGGATGGGGCTTGTTAGCTTACTGCAAGGGTGTCAAACTCAATTTCATTGAGGGCCACATCAGCATTGCGGTTGCCCTCGGGGGGGGGGGATGGCCAGGGTGGTACATTGGCTCCCGGCCGGCCTGGGCCAAGGCAGCAGGGGCCGTTCCCTCACTGTTTCCAGGATGCCTTCGCGGGCCACATGAAACCACTTCACCCCCCCCCCCCCGGGCCTTGTGTTTGACATTTCTGGCTTACTGGTAAGGCTCCTTTCAGATAGATTGGGGAATGGATTGGAAAGGACCAAAGACCTCAGTTTAACACAACACAGCAAGGAGAACAAAATGGTCAAGTAGCTGCTCTTTCTCACTTTATTAAGTGATAATTTCAGAATACGAGAGGACATGGAAAACACTGCATCGCCTTATGATGTTTCGGTGAAAACGATCTAATTTGAAAATGCTCTAAATTTTAGATCTACGAAGGTCATCTGAAGAGAAAGTGAATAAGAGGGGAGCTTCAGAAGTAGACGAGAATCGAGGAGTTGAGTTTTTGCAGCTCGACATTTTGAACAAGCAAATTTGAGAGGAGCGAGAGGACCCCATTCGTTGGGATGGAGGAGCGCTGGGAAATGCAATGGCAGCAGTTCCTCAAGACGCTGGAAGGGGTTCAACCAGGAGAAGTTCAACCAGGAGAGGTTCAACCAGGAGACGGCAAGTCCCAGACGTCGGAGGCCTCTCCCTGGGAAGACCCCAAGGTCTTCCTGGCCTCCTTCGAGCAGGTGGCCCATGCGTGCCGATGGCCCAGAGGAGAGTGGGTAGCCCATCTCCTGCCAGCCCTTTGTGGAGAAGCCAAAGAGGCCTTTCAGAAGCTGGAAATCAGAGAACGGGACAACTATGAGAAGGTGAAGGACGCCATCTTGAAAGGAGAAGCCGTGAAAACGGAGGCCCAGCGTCAGCGCTTCAGGCAGTTCTGCTGCCAGGAGGTGGGAGATCCTCAGATAGTTTACAAGCAAATCAAAGAGCTTTGCCACCAGTGGCTGAAGCCAGAGAGACACACCAAAGAGCAGGTCTTGGAGCTGCTGATCCTGGAGCAGTTCCTGGCCAGCCTCCCACCGGAGCTGCGGAGCTGGATTCAACCCAGGAGGCCGGACACGTGTTCCCAGGCGGTGGCCCTGGTGGAGGACTTCCTGCGGAGTCAGCAAGGGACCAGATCCGAAGCACGTCAGGTATGATTTGATGATATCAACCTTGGTGTTTCCATGACTCAAAACGGACCTCAATGCTAGAAACACTTATAATACTTAACTGGCAATGATATAGTTCAGTCTACAGGTAATCCTCGAGTTATGACCACAATCGATCCCAATGTTTATGTTACTAAGTGAAACATTTGTGCTCCATTTTACCACTTTTCTTGCCATAGCTGTTAAGTGAATCATTGCATTTGTTAGGTTAGTAATGTGGTTGATAAGATAAGATAAGATAACCTTTATTGTCATTTTTTTACTGAGGGCACAACGGCACACATCAAAAATGAAATTTAGTTGCCCGCTCTCAAAGTGAAACACATACACGACGCACACCTAAAACATACTATGAACAATCTATGTATAGACCTATACCCCTACATATACGTAACAAATAAATATTAAACGCTGTCCATCTTGAATATATAACGGAAGGAGGAAGCTTGAGAGTTCACAAGGCTAATGAAATGAAACTATGGCTGAATCTGGATGTTCTGCAGTGGATATCACAAAGCCCCCTCCTCCCAGAAGGTAGCAAGGAAAACAGGCTGTGAAGAGGATGTGTAGTGTCCCAGATAATCTTATAGACCCTGCTCAAGCAACACTTCTGTGCTATGTTGTTAAATGAGTCTGCCTTCCCCATTGACTTTGCTTGTCAGAAGATCGCAAAAGGGATCACCTGGCCCCGGGGACACTGCAACCGTCATAAACATGAGTCAGTGGTCAAGCCTCTGAATTTTGATCATGTGACCATGGGGATGCTACAACCGTCGTAAGTGTGAAAACGGTTATAACTCACCTTTTTCCGGGCCGTTGTAACGTAGTCACTAAATTAACTGTTGTAAGTTGTAGGCTACCTGTATTTTGAGTTTTGTTGATTGTGAGCATTTTAAGCACTACTACCATCAATATTTCTGAAGTTCTGTTGGTGTCATCACTTTCCAAGTCTTTTTTCCTTTTCTTTCAGTTGCAGTCATGATTGTCATTTAATGTAGTTAATATAATAATAATAATAATAATAATAATAATAAACATGGTGCTACTACAGATGTTCCTTGACTCACAACCATTTGTTTTGTGTCTGTTCGAAGTTGCAATGACATTGAAAAAAATGATTTACAACTGGTGCTAGCACTTATGAGCTTTACTATTTTCATGGTTACACAGCCAAAATTTGGGAACTCGTCAACCAGCATTTATTTACAAGAGTTACCCAGTGTCCTTAGGTCACGTGATCACCATGTGTGACCTCAGTCAGCTTCAACTAGTAAAGTCAATAGAGAAGGCTAGATTCACTTAATGACTGCATGATTCTGCAGTGATTCACTTAACAACCATGATGAAATAGGGGTTAAATTGGGCACAACTCAGTAACCACTCTGCTTAGCAATGGAAATTACCGACATACGTTGAGGACTACCTGTATTAATTGACTGGCTGAAAGCTGATTTCGTTCCCATTTAACCACTAATGGTGAAATTATCCTACCTGTGCCAACTGTCCTCAAATTACAATCATTTGTTTAGTGCAGGGGTCTTCAAACCTGACCCTTTTATGATTTGTGGACTTCAGCTCCCAGAAGGCTGAGGAATTCTGGGAGTTGAAGTCCACAAGTCATAAAAGGGTCAAGTTTGAAGACCCCTGCTCTACATTTAGGCAAGAAAAACCAAATGCAGGGATATAGTATAGGTCAGGGGTAGGCAACCTTGGCTCTTTTATGATTCGTGGGCTTCAACTCCCAGAATTCCTGAGCCAGCCACGCTGAGGGGAAAGGGACAGGTTTCCAAGCTGAGCCATGCTGGCTCAGGAATTCTGGGAGTTAAAGTCCACAAGTCATAAAAACGCCAGGTATCACCTATACCAGGGGTCTTCAAACTTAGTCCTTTTATGACTGGTGGACTTCAACTCCCAGAATTCCTGAGCCAGCATGGCTCAGCTTGGAAACCTTTCCCTTTCCCCTCACCATGGGTGGCTCAGGAATTCTGGGAGTTGAAGACCACGAGTCATAAAAGAGCCAAGGTGGCCTACCCCTAACCTATACTATACCCCTGCATTTGGGTTTTCTTGCCTAAATGTAGAGCAGGGGTCTTTAAACTTGACCCTTTTATGACTTGTGGACTTCAACTCCCAGAATTCCTCAGCCAGGCACGCTGGCTGAGGAATTCTGGGAGTTGCAGTCCACAAGTCATAAAAGGGCCAAGTTTGAAGATCCTGGTTTAGTGAAACAAGCTACAATGGCCCTGAAAATAAATGACTTATGACCGATTTTCACACTTACAACTGTTGCAGCATCTTGTGATCAAAATTTGGGCACTGACATGTATTGCGGTGTCCCGGAGTCACGTGATCCCCATTTTTAAACTTCCCAGCCAGCATCCGATGAGTAAAGTCAATGGGGAAAGCCAGATTCACTTAATGACATCATGTTTCACTTAGCAACTGCAGAGACTTCTTTAACAACGGTGGCAAAAAAAGATTGCAAAAGAAGGCACAACTCAACTTAAAAACTGCCTTGCTTAGTTAATGGACATTTTGGGCTCCGTTGTGGTCGTAAGTCGAGGATGACGTGGACAAAGAGTCTTATGCTGTGGTGGCGTAGTGGTTAAAAGGCAACACTGTGGGCTACTTCTGCTGACTGCCAGCAGTTCGGCAGTTCGAGTCTCGCCAGCTCGATTCAGCCGTCCGTCCTTCCGACGTCGGTAAAATGAGGACCCAGATCATTGAGGGCAAATATGCTGACTCTGTAACACCGCTTAGAGAGGGCTGTGAAGCACCGTGAAGCGGTATATAAGTCTTAAGGGCTATTGCCCTGCTAATATTTTCACTTTTTATTTTGTGCAGAGCAATGTAAATTTCGCGAGCTTAATTCCAGAGAGAAAATGCATTGGCACAGCATTTTCTGCAGGGCAAACCCAGTGATATTAAAAATACTGAGCAAGAATTGTGAGCGTAGTATTATGTAGCTCATTTGTAATAATCTCCCAATAACCTTCGTGAGAACCAGACAACCAGCCCTACTGAGATTCTTGCTTTTTGGGCACGTTGAATCCTGTTGATCCGAGTAGGCCTTGTCTTCCCTGTTTCAGGAGCCACCAAAGGAAGGTCCCACCAATTCCAAACGTGCTGAGAAGGAGCCCTTAGTAACCATGAAGAGAGAAAACGCCAAGAAGGAGCCCTTAGAAGCTGTGAAGAGAAAAAACGCCGAGAAGGAGCCCTTAGTAGTCGTGAAGACAGAAAACACTGAGGAGGAACACTTAGAAGCCGTGAAGACAGAAAACATTGAAGTGGAGATCAGTATGCCGGGTAAGAATGCCCTAGGAATGAGCAAACACCAAATCCTTTCTGCATTTTATGGGATGCTTAAACTGAGGGCAGATTTTTTGCACCTTGATCAGTTTCCTGGAAAGCAAATTTCGATAAATGCAATAGGGCAGGGGTAGGCAACCTTGGCTCTTTTATGACTCGTGGACTTCAACTCCCACAATTCCTGAGCCAGCCACGCTGAGGGCAAAGGGAGAGGTTTCCAAGCTGAGCCATGCTGGCTCAGGAATTTGGGAGTTGAAGTCCACGAGTCATAAAAGAGCCAAGGTTGCCTAACCCTGCCCTATATCATTTCAGAGAAGTGACTGTCTAGGACAAGGGTCTTCAAACTTGGCTCTTTTATGACTCGTGGACTCCAACTCCCAGAATTCCTGAGCCAGCCATGCTGAGGGGAAAGGGAGAGGTTTCCAAGCTGAGCCAAGCTGGCTCAGGAATTCTGGGAGTTGAAGTCCACGAGTCATAAAAGAGCCAAGGTGGCCTATCCCTGGGCTAGGGGGAATCACCAAATCGGTTGTAGCTGAATTCTGAAGGAATAATGTTTGTCACGGCTATAAGAGAACAGCTTAGTACAATCTCAGCAGCTTTAAAAATGTGTGGACTTCAACTTTCCCCAGGGGAATTCTGGGAGCTGAAGTCCATACATTTAAGAGTTGCCTGGGTTAAAAAAACATCGATAGAGGAGAAGACCTCATGGCAGGTTGCAATCCATTAAAAAAAAACCAATTAAAACAAATAAAAAAAATAATGGAAGCATATTTCAATAACAGTCTTCCTACCCCTTCCTTCATTATGGACAGTTTCTGATCAGTCTTCACGGTGGAGCTGTGTAGGACACATTGTTGTATTTCGGACAAGTGGCCAGAGCCAGGATTATGGGGCCAGACCCAAAGGTGCTATTTCAAGAGGCAACTGGACTTTCTTTGTAGATGTTTGGCTTTTCATCCAAGAAGCTTCTTCAGCTTTGATGGGACGGTGGGGAATGGAAGGATTTAAAGTCCTTGCAGACATAGGAGAACAAACCCATCAAGACAGTAGTCCATCTGCCTTTAAAAGACAAAGACCACATTTTGGACAGAAAGGACCGCTGGCTTGAAAGAGGGGGTCAAAGAGGTCCTCTGTGTCAAAATTGAACGAAATTGAGGGATACGACATCATCTATCTCAGTGGTGGCGAACCTATGGCATGCGTGCCAGAGGCGGCACTCAGAGCCCTCTCTGTGGCCACACGTGCCGCCGCTGCCAGCAGCTTGTGCAGGTCCATTAGGCTGCTGCTGCCACCCAGGCCAGCAGCCGCACCCAGCACAAAGGAGGCGAAGCGGCCAGCTAGCGAGCTCAAGTAGAAATGGTAGAGCAGGCCCACACCCAGCAAGCCAAAGGCCACCCCAAGCAGGGAAAGCCGGATCCCCATCGGTGTCATGGCCCCCCAGTCCCAGCTAGAATTGCATGCCTCCCCCATCTATGCTGGGCCTCCTGCCCACCGCCCCACCCACCAGAGACCCCCTGGATCTCCCCCAACCCTGCCCACTGCCCCACCTGCCAGAGACCCCTGGATCTCCCCCAATCCTGCCCGGCCTCCAAAGGCGTCCCCCCCATGAGCAGCATCGAGGTGGCCATGCCCACCCCAGCCACACCCACTCAGTGGGCCACACCCCATACCCCCCCTGAGGGCACCACAATGCCCTGGCACTTTGCAATAATTAAGTGGGTTTGGGGTTGTGGTTTGGGCACTCGGCCTCTAAAAGGTTCACCATCACTGATCTATCTCTTACAACAGTCCTTTTCAGCAGTTCCAAGAATGCTCCACAACCATTTGCACCACTCAGGTGACCCTGAGGACACAGATAAACCCCCAGGTGGCCTCAATGACGCTCTAAAACAGGGGTCTTCAGACTTGGCCCTTTTTTGACTTGTGGACTTCAAATCCCAGAATTCCTCAGCCGATGTGCCTGGCTGAGGAATTCTGGGAGTTGAAGTCCACAGGTCATAAAAGGGCCAAGTTTGAAGACCCCCCTGCTCTAAAAGGATGCCAATGACCAGCTATCTGCAAGGAGTATAAATCCTTCGATTCCCCCCACCATCCAGTCAGAGTTGAAGAAGCTTCTTGGATGAGACTCGAAACGTCTTCAAAGAAAAACAAGAAAGTCCAGTTGCCTCACGAAAAAGCACCTTTGGGGGACAACCATAACTCAGAATCTTCATAGACATATGGGACCAGACCATTCCTGTCCTGGAAGGGTCTTAGCTGCCTGTGGGGCACATTGGGAATTTGTGGCTTGTGGTTTGGCATTAGGGACAGATTTCTCTGGCTTTTATACCTTTTACTGATGAATTCTACTTGAAGTAACTAGCTATATATTGTTAATAGGTTCTATAACGGTGGTTCTCGACCTGTGGGTTGGGACACCATTTGGGGTCGAATGACCATTTCACGGGGGTCGCCAAACAACGCAGTCCACCATTTTTTCCCCCCTTTTCCTTAGCTGTGCTACTCCCTTTTATTCTGTTGGCTTTTGAAAGCCAATAGAATAGACTCTCTTGAATAGAGTCTAATTCTATTGGCTTTCAAAAGCCAATAGGAATTGTCCAGGCTGTCTCTGCCCTGCTGAGCCTGCCAAAAGTCCCATTCTGCAAACAATGCGGCACCAGTTGAGTAATCCTCGACTTACGACCGGTTGAGTAGTCCTTGACTTACAACCGGTTGGGGGTCGCGGCATTAAAAAGGTTGAGAACCACTGTTCTATAAGGTGCAGTACAAGTACTACCTTTATTGTAAAGTGGTTACCTACAGGTAGTCTTGGGACACACGCCCATTTATTTAGCAACCATTCAAATTTGAGCGAAACTAAAAAAAAGGATTTGTGACTGATCCTCACAGTTATGACTGTCACAGCATCTCTACTGTCCCATGATCAAAATTCAGGTGCTTAAGAAACCCTCACACATTTACAATAGTTAAAGTCCACACATCATATGGCTGTCAAAGTTAGAAATGCTGGTTTAGCAGAAGCGTGATTTGGATCAAAACTGTCCCTTCAGATCAGACATGTCAAACACAAGGCCCGGGGGCCGGATGCGGCCCACAAAGTGGTTTCATGTGGCCCGCGAAGCCATCCTGGAATCAGTGAGGGAACGGCCCCCACTGCCTTGGCCCTGGCCCAGGCCGGCCGGGAGCCAATGTACAATTTTGTGGTGGCCATCTATGCTGAAACGCATTCAGTCTTAGCTCCAGAAGGCCATCTGGAAACAGCAAGGAACCAGCCCCTGCGGTGTTGGCCCCGCCCCCTGGGTGCATGCTGGGGAGGTGTCATCCTTTGTGAGGAATGAAGAAATGGACCATGCCTTGGCGCTTGCCCCGGTCCCACCCCCTTCTGCCAGAGACCCTCAGATCTGTCCCACTCCTGCCCAGGCCCCCACAGGCCCCCTTGACACAAATGATGTAGAGCTGGCCCCACCCACCCAGTAGGCCACACCCACTCCATCCATGCCCACCCAGTAGGCTGCACCCATCCTGGCCACACACACACACACACACACCCCCGAGGGCAACCACAATGCTGATGCGGCCCTCAGTGAAATTGAGTTTGACACCCTGGCTTTAGATATATTTTTTTTCCTCATTCGATCGGTATTTTCTGTAAGACTTGCCATAATCTTGGCAAGAGCAGAACTCCTCGATCAGAGCAGACCCCAGTCAAACCTTTCAGGCCCATCCTCTATAGAAAGAGGGGACATCCTTTTCCACTCTGAAAAGTAATTAAATGGGCATAAAGAAGGATAAGTAAGAAAGGGAAAAAATCACTTGGCAATTTCTAAAGTGGAAACGAAAGGGAAGGGGGGGGGGCAAAAGAGGCCATTTCTCACCCGTATACGCTTTCAAAAATGTCTTCTGCAAGGCTTCTGTGGTTCACAACATGACAGGCCTTGTGTGCAGCTGTGTGTCCAGCCACTTAAGTTGACCTCTTCCTATTGTAATGTCTTGCTTTCAGCTGCAGGACCTAGAATCGAATCCCCAGACCCTCCCAGCTCATCGCCTCCTTCCGAAATGGTCCAAACTCCTTTGAAAGAGGTACGTGCGTCGACCTTGTGAGAAGAGGTTTGCCCTGTACCAGATTAGGGGTATGTAATATTGGCATGGGAGGGGCACAGTGGCCCAACGATTAAAGATGCTGAGCTTGTCAGCTGGAAAGTTTTATCTAATTTTGGTCGCCTTATTATAAAAAAGATGTACAGTAATAATAATAATAATAATAATAGCGATGATCGATAATAATAATAATAATAATAATATTGGGAAGGGACCTTGGAGGTCATCTAGTCCAACCCCCTGCTCAGGCAGGAAACCCTACACCATTTTGGACAAATGGCTGTCCAGTCTCTTCTTAAAAACTTCCAGAAGTTTTACTGCTTCTGGAGGCAGGCTGTTCCACTGATTAATTGTTCTCACTGTCAGGAAGTTTCTCCGTAGTTCTAGGTTGCTTCTCTCCTTGATTAGTTTCCACCCATTGCTTCTTGTCTTGCCTTCAGGTGCTTTGGAAAATAGCTTGATTCCCTCTTCTTTATGGCAGCCCCTGAGATATAGAAGAGGGAATCAAGCTATTTTCCAAAGCACCTGAAGGCAGGACAAGAAGCAATGGGTGGAAACTAATCAAGGAGAGAAGCAACCTAGAACTACGGAGAAACTGGAAAGGGTGCGGAAAAGCAACGAAGAGGATTAGGGGGCTGGAGGCTAAAACATATGAAGAACGGTTGTTGGAATTGGGTACAGTGGGGCAAAAAAGTATTTAGTCAGCCACCAATTGTGCAAGTTCTCCCACATAAAAAGATGAGAGAAGCCTGTAATTGTCATCATAGGTAGACCTCAACTATGAGAGACAAAATGAGAAAAAAAATCCAGACAATCACATTGTCTGATTTGGAAAGAATTTATTTGCAAATTGTGGTGGAAAATAAGTATGTGGTCACCTACAAACAAGCAAGATTTCTGGCTCTCACAGACCAGTAACTTCTTCTTTAAGAGGCTCCTCTGTCCTCCACTCATTACTTGTATTAATGCCACCTGTTTGAACTTGTTATCAGTATAAAAGACACCTGTCCAGAACCTCAAATAGTCACACTCCAAACTCCACTATGGTGAAGACCAAAGAGCTGTCGAAGGACACCAGAAACAAAATTGTAGACCTGCACCAGGCTGGGAAGACTGAATCTGTAATAGACAAGCAGCTTGGTGTGAAGAAATCAACTGTGGGAGCAATAATTAGAAAATGGAAGACATACAAGACCGCTGATAATCTGGAGGCCTCGATCTGGGGCTCCACGCAAGATTTACCCCGTGGGGTCAACATGATCATAAGAACGGTGAGCAAAAATCCCAGAACCACATGGGGGGGACCTAGTGAATGACCTGCAGAGAGCTGGGACCAACGTAACAAAGGCAGCCATCAGTAACACACTACGCCGCCAGGGACTCAGATCCTGCAGTGCCAGACGTGTCCCCCTGCTTAAGCCAGTACATGTCCGGGCCTGTCTGAAGTTTGCTAGAGAGCATTTGGATGATCCAGAAGAAGATTGGGAGAATGTCCTATGGTCAGATGAAACCAAAGTAGAACTGTTTGGTAGAAACACAACTTGTCGTGTTTGGAGGAGAGAGAATGCTGAATTGCATCCAAAGAACACCATGCCTACTGTGAAGCATGGGGGTGGCAACATCATGCTTTGGGGCTGTTTCTCTGCAAAGGGACCAGGATGACTGATCCGTGTACAGGAAAGAATGAATGGGGCCATGTATTGTGAGATTTTGAGTGCAAACCTCCTTCTATCAGCAAGGACATTGAAGATGAAACATGGCTGGGTCTTTCAGCATGGCAATGATCCCAAACACACTGCCCGGGCAACGAAGGAGTGGCTTCGTAAGAAGTATTTCAAGGTTCTGGAGTGGCCTAGGCAGTCTCCAGATCTCAACTCCATAGAAAACCTTTGGAGGGAGTTAAAAGTCTGTGTTGCCCAGCGACAGCCCAAAAACATCACTGCTCTAGAGGAGATCTGCATGGAGGAATGGGCCAACATACCAGCAACAGTGTGTGCCAACCTTGTGAAGACTTACAGAAAACGTTTGACCTCTGTCATTGCCCACAAAGGATATATAACAAAGTATTGAGATGAACTTTTGATATTGACCACATACTTATTTTCCACCATAATTTGCAAATAAATTCTTTCCAAATCAGACAATGTGATTGTCTGGATTTGTTTTCTCATTTTGTCTCTCATAGTTGAGGTCTACCTATGATGACAATTACAGGCCTCTCTCATCTTTTTTAAGTGGGAGAACTTGCACAACTAGTGGCTGACTAAATACTTTTTTGCCCCACTGTATGTCTAGTCTAGTGCAAAGGACTTAGGGGAGACATGATAGCAATGTTCTAATATTTGAGGGGCTGCCACAAAGAAGGGAGGGGGAATCAACCTATTTCCCAAAGCACCAGAAGGAAAGACAAGAAACGATGGAAATTAATCAAGCAACCTAGAACTAAGGAGAAATCTTGATAATCTGGGTTGGAGACCTATGCGCCGCACTACAGGTTGAGTTCCTGTTACTTGCCCCAGTTCCTGCCCACCTAGCAGTTTATAACAGCATGCAAATGTGAGTAGATAAATAGGTACCACTTCCGTGGGAAGGTAACCGTGTTCCATGCTCCTTGGTGTATAGTCACACTGGTCACATGACCACCTTTGGATAACGCTGGCTCCCTCAGCCGAGAAACAGATGAGCACCACTCCCTAAAGTCGGAGACGTCTGGACAGGGGAAACCTTCCTTTTTGCCTTTCATATCAGCAATCAGAATAGAGCTGGAAGGGACCTTTAGAGATCTTCTAGTCCAACCCCCTGCTCAAGTGGGACAGAGGGATGCAGGGCCGGGCTGCTCCCCTCCTGCTCTCCACGCATGCGGAATTCAGGAACAGCTGCGAGAGCTGGGCGGGGAGAAGGCTACAAAAGGAGCAGGTTTTGGCGGGAAAGTGCATGAGCAGCATTTGCTGCAGACAGGGAGGGAGGGAGGGACCATGAGCGACCAATGGTGAGTTTCAGCGGCTGCTGCTCCGAGCCCCTCAACCAGCCGGCCACGCAGAGGAGGACGAGGGGTGTCTGGAGCCGCCTCGGCTGCTCGCTGGCCTCAGGCCCCAACGAGGCAGCAGACTTCACACACCGGCTGCCCAGTCTCGTGGGGCAGAGGTGGCGGCGATCCCTGCATCATCAGGCCGGCCGGCACGCAGCTCCAAAAGTGAGGCTGTGCCGCCCATCCTCGCGCTGGTGGGGACGGCAGGGGAAGGCGGGCTCTGGCGCGCGCCTACCCTTCGCCGCTGCCGTCCCACATTGTCCCACGTGCATCCCTGGGACGTGCATGGAAGACAATGCAGAGTGGCAGCGGAGAGGGGTGGGCGTGCACCACAGTCAAGTCACTTTTTTCAGTGCCGTTGTCACTCCGAACGGTCACTAAGCGAACTGCTGTAAGGGAAGGACTACTGTACTTTATCACTTTTTTTCGTTTGGGGGGGGGTCATCAAGTTTTTGACGCCTTGCTATGTGACTGGAAAAGCCAAGTGCTCAGATTGCAGCTGCTTTTCTGCAGGTATGTGTGGAATGGCGTGGAACCCCCAGGTTTTGCAAAGTGAATAGAGGAAGTTGGTTACAGCTTGTTAGGAAAGATAAAGTAGACGACCAAGAGTGCTTTATTGACCATTCTTCATCCAGATTTTATATCGGTTGCATCTGCTAATATCGGCGTTCTGCTTCAGATTTCTCAGTTATTTTCAGTATCTGGCAAAATGAATGAGTACTTTTCCAACACCCTGTAAAATCCAAGACATTGCTTTCATTGTTTAATTCCCCCCTCCTAGATCAGTGGTGGTGAACCTTTTAGAGACCGAGTGCCCAAACTGCAACCCAAAACCCACTTATGCATCCGTGGGGTGCCGGGTGGGTGTGGCCTATTGGGTGGGTGTGGCCCACTGGGTGGGCGTGCCTGAGGTGGTAACAGCAGACTGGGTGAGACTAAAGAGTTCAATCAATCAATTCCAACTTTGCAAGATTTTTTTTTCCCCGTGAGAAGTTAAAATTGACTGATTGAATTTTTTTTTTCCCACACAGCATCGGAGCCTAAAGCGAAAAGGTTTTATAAAACCCAGCTGAAGGCCTAGGACTGGGGCAATGGCGCGCGTGCCCACAGATAGGGCTCTGAGTGCCGCCTCTGGCACCCGCGGCATAGGTTCGCCACCATTGTCCTAGATTGTTGATTCAGGGAATATCCATTTCTTTAGAGTTAACTAATAGCGTTAGTTATTTTTGGTATAAGGATAGATTTGTATGGGGTGCTTCATTTTTTTTTTTTTTAATTTTGTGTTTTTGTAGACTCCAAGTCTTGAACACTCACAAATGAGTGCAGCAAAAAAAGCAAAAACAGATAGTGGAAGATCATTCCAAGAGGCCTGGACAAATTCATTTGGAGTGATTGAACACAATGGGAAAGCGTTATGTGTTCTATGCAACAAAAGTGTTGTGTGTCGCACCTCAAGTGTCAAACGGCACTTGGACACCAACCACAAAAGTGTTGCCGAACTTGGTGCTACTAAAAGAAAAGAGTTTCTTGAGGGGAAATTGAGGAACTATCATTCCCAGTATCCTAGTTTTTCCAACTCTCTTTCCAAAACAAATCGTTTGACAGCTGCCAGTGTTAAAATTCCACTGTGCATAGCTGATGGGGAAATTATCAAAATGGCCATGTTGTCTGGGAGTGATTCTCTTTTTCATGATTTCCCAAACAAAGATGAAATCATTCAACGCATCTCTGAGATGCCACTTAGTAAAAATATTATTAAAGATATGAATCCAGCACATGGAAAGTGACGTTAGTCAGCAGCTCACTGCTGACTTACAAAAGGCAGCTTGTTACTCCATGTGCTTGGACGAAAGCGCTGATATATATAATCATGCAAGGCTAGCAGTAATTTTGCATTATGCTGTTGGTGACATCATGAAAGAAGAGCTGGTAAAACTGGTGTCTTTGCCTGAAA